TACGTACGGGCCCACCGAAGTTTTCTGCGGGCAAGCTGCTAACCCAGGAACCAGAAATGCTGAAAACCTGAAATTTTAAGGAAATATTCCCCGTCCACGCAGGTATTAATGAGCTCAAACCCAGCCCCCGGGTATGCTTGGTACCCACGTACGGTCCGCCAAGTTTTTTTTCAGGTAATTTGCTAACTCGGAGAACTGAAAAGTTAGAAGACTGTAATTTTAAGGGGATGTTCACCGTCCACGTAAGTCTTGATGAGCTTCAAACCAGTCCCCGTGTCTGCGTGGTTACGGGCCCGCCAAAGTTTTCTTCAGGTGAGCTGCTAACTTGGGAACTTGAGAAGCTAGAGGATAGGAATTTTAATGGGATGTTCCCCATCCAGGTATGTGTTAGTGATCTCAAACCGAGACACCGGGTATGCGTGGTACCCACTTGCGGGCTCGTAAAATTTTTTTCGGGTAAGTTGCTAACTCGAGAGCCAGGAAAACTAGAAAGCTCAAATTTTAAGGGGTTATTTCCCGATAATTCTGGCGGTCAGTCTTAATTTGTTTAGTTAGAAGCATTTGCCGTAAAAACCGGTGCCGGTAGCGACAAAAACTGCGGGGAACTATGCAAAAAACGCATCTTCGCAAGAGCAGCCCATGCGTTGGCCAATTATTTCCATGGTTAAACCTTGAATGAGTACGCTTGGAATTCTTTTCAAATCAGTTCGAATCAAGAAATCTACAAAAGATGTTACGAACCTGTAAGTGGGAAGGAATTTCATGTGCAACAGAAAGTGGTGCCAAGCAACCTTGCATATCGAAACGAATGCACGGGTTACGCTCATATTCTGTGACACCAAGCAGAATATAACGAGCACGGAGTGGCGGATTAAGTTCAAACTGATGCATCGCGTTATGATTTCCGGATGGCGTCTCGAATTCCTGCAGTATAACATGTTCTGTCCAAAACATGCAGTATGTTCTTGCTTCTCATTGTCAGCAAGTTACTGTCATTAAGTGCATCAAGGTTATGATGCCCTCGCTTGATGATGCAAGATGACAC